CCCCAAGTTTTGCATTGAGCAAACTGCTAAGCTGGGTAAAAATCCTGTGCAAGACAGTATTCCCAAGAGTATGGTACCTAGTACAAACAAATCTGATCTTAAATCTTCTTAATGCATATGGGATTTTTAGAAAGGTATGTAGTTTTGGTAACCAGGCAAAAGTCCAGTGCAAATAACTAGGAATTTCATCTCTCTAAGTCATTTACATGCTGTCTTAGTTGAACACATTCGTCATCTTCCTCCTTGCCCTCTAGTACTATTTGTGCTGTTCAGTTGTACCTGTCACAAACAAGCCAATTAAGGCTTGTTTGTTTGGTTTTTTCTAAAGCTTTTTCTCAAATGCCCCAAGTCCAGCAGTATGCTCTTGGCTGATTTGCCAATTTACTCTACTTCGTTCTTAGTTAGATCTTGTAAATGACTTGGAAATTAGCTGGGGATTACAAGTCAGAGACCTTTAAGTGAGGTAGGTTGTTCATTACTCAGAAGGCAGAAATAATCTTGCTGTTTGACTTCCACTGGGAGTAGCAGCCAGGGAAATGAGACGTAGTCCAACATGTGGGGAAGGAACTGTTGCTGCATTATTCCAACTCCTTTTCAGGACCTCCATTCATGCCCCTGGGTTTGGACAGAAGTACGCTTAGGAAAATGTGATGATGAATCAGCCTGGAAAGCAGTAAAGTTAGACCAAGCAGGAACTGCTGGCTTTTTGAAGAGATTTCTGTGATATTGGGTGCCGAGTGGCCTGATTCACTGTTGAGTGTCTCCCCCTAAATAATCTGAGTGCTGTAACAAACTTGAACTCTGTAATGCAAGTAAAAGTATACTGGATTGATGAGGAAGTTTCAAGGGAGTTTTTCAGGTCATCTCACTGTATTTGAAGAGGGGAAAAATACTTGAATCTTTCCTCTCCTCTCTCAATATCTCAGGTATTGATTTTTTTTTTTTTTGAAGCAAACAAGAAAATGAATTTTCATGCCTTCTTTTGTCTTAAAAGGTGCTGACTAATCAGGTCTTTGAGGATTTCTGAACATTGAACAGATGCTGGGCTGCACAAATAATCTTAGAAATTATTCTCATATCTAAAGAATGAAAAGTATGAAAAGAAGTGATGTGATTTGCATAAACACCTAGATTGATAGGTCAGTTCACCCGCTCAGTTCAGTGACAGTGAAATGTCTAATCTAGTTGAGTTGTCTTGCAACCTTGTATCTGCAGGCCTGTAAACATCTCTCTAGGCTTGGCCCTTACTCAGATACTTCGTAACATGGGCAGGTGTAGGCAGGAAAATACTTACGTCCTTCACAAAGGTCTTTTTAGCCTACTTGAGTTTAAATAAGGTGCCAGGCTTAAGCAAACTGAAAGGAATAAATAAATAAAAGGCTGCTGGTGCCTCAAAACAGCGATGGAATGAAATTGCTTCTGAAGATGCTGACTCCCACCCCTCATCTGTCCGTTAGCTTGCACTGTTTGCACAGCAGATATTCTCATTGCGCAGGGACTGTGCTGGCTGACAACTGCAAGTGCAGAACAACGTGAAGGGGTAGCGGCTTTTGTAGGAAACTGTCCAGCATCAAATATGTAGGATTTCAGTTGTGTGCTTCCCTTCAGGACCGCATACATGAGAATATTATAATAGCTTTTTACTGGCTTTTGTGAAAATAGGAGAAGCTGCTGGAAGCCTGGCTTATACCAGAGATGCTTTGTAGGTTGTACAGCTGAAGAACCAGTGCTGAGACTCTGCATTGACTTCTGCGGCACTTCTCTCCAAGAGAAGTAACTTCTCTTGTGTAATCTGTTGCATCCTCATGTGCTGAAGTAGGGTGCTGGGGAGCTGGTGTCACTTCTATAGAGACAGTGGGCCCAGCTGGCTGTATTGGGCTGCATGTATCTGTGTGCTGTCAGCTGAGTGCTTCCAAAGTGCTGGATTGAATCAAAATAGTCTCATACTGAGATAATGTCACAGCTTGCAAATCCAGTTTAAGGAGAACTAGAAGTACTGACCGATTGGAGACAGAGTGTTGGTAGTAAAAGCGCTTCTAGCTTGTTACCCCATCATGCAGGATAATGCTGCTAATGCTAGAGAACTGTAGCATGCTGCCAGTAATAGGGAATGGCAAAGGAGCTTAGCAGGAGTCAGGAAAGGCCAACGATCATATGAGGGAGAAGAAGGCCTGAGGAAAGTGTGTGGCGGTTACTGAGAATCACACAGAACGTGACTTATTACCAGAGCATCTTTTCTATTGAAAAATGTTTTGGAAAACAAAAACGCGTGTTGTAAAATGAAGTTAAGGACAGTTTTCATACTTTTCATGTCACTGCGTTGTGTGGCAGTGTCTTGAGGAAGATGCGATATTTGAACTGTGATAGTGAGCTTGAATATGAAACGACATGCTTTGGCAGACCAAATAACTAGAAAACAATTAATGTTGATTTGTATTAGCAAAACTGTGGTATCTGTGGTGGGGGTATTTGTTTATTGTTAAAACTGAAGCACTCTGTTCTACTTCTTCTGTTAGTGTATGGTCAGCTCTCTTCCTGTAAACTGAAACTAGTTGCTAAGTCGCAACCAAGTAGTTCTTGTAGTGTTTTTGACTTGTCATTCACTGTAGAAATGAATGCTAAAATATACAAGGTCATGAAAGAAACTCTGGAAAAATATATTTCAGTGATTCGGTAGTTGTGGATGCAGAACAATTGCACGACTTGCTGAGCAAATCTTTCTGTGGCCTGAACTCATTAGAGTGTGCTAATCATAGCTGGAATGGCATTGCAGGTTCCTCCCCAGTGATCATGGTTCAGGTGGGGAGAGCAGGAAAAAGAGGAGAAAAGCATTTCAGAGAATGTATAGGTTTTGCCAAGGATCAGCAGCCATGAATACGTGTAGGAAGGATAAGGATTACTGTTGAAATATGAGGACTTTTTTTTTTTTTTAGCTGTAGGAGTTAATTTTTAGCTTAAGAAGGTTACATAGGTTAGAAATAAGTCAGATTGGAAATTTAGATGCGGTTCCTTTGGTATATTGAGGCTTGGTTCAGTTAATATGTGGGTGGGAAGGGAATGGATATGGAAGACACAATTGCTGCATAAAGTGCTAGTCCCAAAAAGATGTGTTTCACACTCGTGTTGGTGTGTTACATTGAAGGGCTGAGATGCAGCTGTCTTTTGTTTATTAAATGCACAATAATATCAAGTGAAAAATGACTGTCTCTTATGAGTGTTTGGCTAGGCAACAAGCGTAAATGGATGAAGATATGGTAGAGTTGTGGACTGAGAAAGTATAAGGACTCTGTGTATCAAAACCACGAGGAAGCTGTCTTCACTTCCTACAGTTGTTTTTGTGCTGGTTGGACAATGTCAAGTAAAAGTTTGTGGAGCTTATCTGGTTGCCATAATAGATTAAATTGCACTTAAATAAAGTTTAATTTTATTTAAAAAAACTGATTTCTTGTGTGTAGTTTTAATTGTGGCTGGTGATGTATGTGGTTTTTTGTTTGGTTGTTTTTTTTTTTGGGGGGGGGTGTTTGTGTGGTTGGTTGGTTGGTTGGTTTTAGGTGTTTTGGGGTTTTTTTAGTAGCATATACTGAGTTTGCCGCTTCAGGAGCACTAGAAAGGCTTACCAGTACTTAGATGTGTAAGTGTGGTCAACCTTCTTGGCATCAAATCAAAAGTAAATAGGAAATTGTTTCAGAAGTGCAACTGATGGCAGTTAGGATGATGATGTGGACAAAGCAAGAAAAATACTCTTATAATTTCAGTGTTTGTGGAAGGGAGCATGACTTTTGCAGATTTAATGGTGAAATAAGGAAATACAGTTACAATGCTGAAAACATATACATCTGTAAATAATGTGTGCATTAACTGAGAAAATGGCTATGGTATTTATAGTAATGGAATTTGGATCAGGATTAAGTGTTAACCTAAGATTGATAAATGTGAGTTCTTTTATATAGATGGTGTTTTAGATACAGTGTGTCCTGTATTGCAGGAACTATAACTTCGTACGTTCTTGCTATACAGCTTATTGTCCTCCAGAAAGGGAAAAATCACATGACTGAAAAGGAAAAGGACCAGCTGAATTTTAATCCAAAAATTGGTCAGCTTTGCTAGTGCAAACAGGTTAGCCATGCACTCCTACTGCGGATGGCCTGCTTTTTCTAATGTAGATGACATCCTTTTGACATTGTTTTGTGTAACATAGAAAAGGGCATTTAACAAGAGAACCAGTGTGGAGTTCCTCAGTGCTGTGTATGTTCCTCAGTTCATACTTTGAAAATCACTTGCCTGACAAGATTTATAGCTAGTTAGGCAGGAGGCCTGATAGTAATTTTTTGAATTGGAAGCAACATTCCTGGAAAGAAGATTCTCTTGAATTCAGAAGCTACAGCAGGTAAGTTGAGGAAGTAAATGCAGCATAGATCTTGTGATAGAAGTAAGGAGGAGCCAAAGGTTTCTATGGTATTATCAGTGTTTTCTTGAAATGTTAAAGTTCCTTTAATCACCCTAAAATACTTAACTTGATACTGTACGAAAGTGTATTTGTTGGACTTTTAAAAAAATATCATCCAAGTGGCTAGCCACAGAACTGGGTTTTAGCCCTCTGGAATCTCTTTAAAATCATCTCCTGTTGTGGATTCTTTGGTGTACATAGGTCATTAAGCAGCTATATATGTGGGCTGATTAACTAAAAACATCTACTAAGAACCTCAAGAGGAGGTATGGAATCTCAGAATTTTAATAATGATTACTCTAAGGGTTTTGATCTGTGCACAAAAGCAGCAGCCTAGTTGTTACTGTACTGCAACAGTTAACATGCTTCTGCTAGTGCTATCAGCATTCCTGCTGACATAAGTGATATCTAAAGCAGAAAACAGAAAGCAGCCATGTCTGTTCTTCCTGTACTAGGAGGAATGAACATAAAATGCTAGTCAGATGGAGAGCAATGAAGCTGGTAAGAAACTTTAAACTATTCAGAAAAGTTGTTGATGTAGAAAAGTGACTCTGAAAATGTTTAAATGTTCTGGTAAATACAGCACTGCGTTTGCAGATCTTTCTGGAGAGAAGGATCCTATTTGTAACTTGTACGGCAATGCTTCAAAGTAATCTAGCATTTTACAGGAAAGAAATTAACTGTGTTACCTTTTTATTCAGGAGTCTTTGCTGTAGTTAATCAAGAATGACTGTACAAGTTCTCAACAACTTGGCTTTTTTCTTAGCAAAAAAACAAAACCAAAAGAACTCAGAAAGGTGAACTTCTGGATGCATTTTATTCTGAGTTACTGTTTTTAATAGAAACTGATCAGTTGAGTCCTGAGACTTGCTGTAGTCATTTATAAATAAGTTCAGGTTAAGGCATTGACTTATAGCAGTCCTAGAATGAATATGAATATTGTTGCAGCCATTTTGTAAGTATTAATATCCTAGAGGGCATTCTAAAATAAGATTTCAATGCTTTCTAAAAGACTATTACAAGGTTCATATAGCAGGTTGAAAATCACTTCTTTAAAAGATGTTTTCATTCCCTCAGTAAGTTTGCAGATGACACCAAGTTGGGTGGGAGTGTTGATCTGCTGGAGGGTAGGAGGGCTCTGCAGAGGGATCTGGACAGGCTGGATTGATGGGCTGAGATCAGTTGTATAAGGTTTAATAAGGCCAAGTGCTGGGTCCTGCACTTCAGTCACAACAACCCCATGTAACGCTACAGGCTTGGGTAGAATTGGCTGGAGAGCTGCCCGGCAGAAAAAGAACCTGGGGGTGCTGGTCGGCAGCCAGCTAAACATGAGCCAGCTGTGGGCCCAGGTGGCCAAGAAGGCCAAGAGCATCCTGGCCTGTATCAGAAATAGTATAGCCAGCAGGAGCAGGGAAGTGATTGTGCCCCCGTACTTGACACTGGTGAGGCCGCACCTTGAATCCTGTGTTCAGTTTTGGACTCCTCCCTACAAGAAGGACATGGAGTTGCTGGAGCGTGTCCAGAGAAGGGCAACGAAGCTGGTGAGGGGTCTGGAGCACAAGTCTTATGAGGAGCGGCTGAGGGACCTGGGGTTGTTCAGTCTGGAGAAGAGGAGGCTGAAGGGAGACCTCATCGCTCCCTACAGTTACCTGAAAGGGGCTTGTGGCGAGGTGGGTGTTGGTCTCTTCTCCCAAGTAACCAGCGATAGAACGAGAGGAAATGGCCTCAAGTTGTGGCAGGGGAGGTTTAGACTAGATATTATGAAAAATTTCTTTGAGAGAGTGGTCAAGCATTGGAACAGGCTTCCCAGGGAGGTGGTGGAGTCTCCATCTCTGGAAGTGTTCAAAAAACGTGTGGACATGGCAGTTCAGGGTATGATTTATTGGGTGTGGTGGTGTTGGGTTGATGGTTGGACTTGATGATCTTAAAGGTCTTTTCCAACCTTAATGATTCTGTGATTTTCAGAGAACTTAAATTGGCTCTTGTAAACACAGAGGCTGGTATTTAAAATGTCAAAGCAAGCTACCTGGCACCAGAAGCTCCTTTTGATGGAGAAGAGTGCAAGGGCAAGAAGTGATACATGCTGTAACTTTGTAAAGTGCATACATATGTGAACATTCCTCTCTCTAATGGAGTTTTGTGTTGTGATGTAAATGTTGATGTGTCATGGAAGAAATGAATACTACTCTCCCTTGCCTTCCAGACAATCGAAGGAAAGTAGAACCACCTCTTGGAGGTCACGATCCTCGAACAGCAGTTCAGTTAAGAAGCCTCAGCACCGTTCTAAAGCGCCTCAAAGAAATTATGGAGGGGAAGAGCCAGGTACTACTTCTGAGGGATTTGTAAGCCAAACTATTTGGGAACTGAACTGTTTACTGCGCTTCTCCGAGCTTCATTTTTAGATACATCACGGGGATTTTTTCAGATGTTTGAAGGATGAGTGAATAAACTAAAGAATCATTGTGTGAGTGCAGGGGAAACAATTTAAGTTGACACTGACTTTTGACATGTCAAACGGCTGTCATATTGTGGGAGTGAAACACTGCAGTTGCTCAGCTTCTTGAACTTGAACCAGATGCTCTCATTTTAGACTCCTTCACTTCTGTATTACCTTATCTTGTATTACCTGGTGGTTTTCTTCCTCAAAGGCTAACCATGGGCAGGTGAAACACATTGACTGTCACAAATAGTAATGAGAATTCTGAGGATGAATTAAATCCGCTACTTACTGTGGTAATGACTGGTTAGCAATATTTGCTTGAAAGGCTTGTCCTGTTAATCAGTTTTGATTCAGCTGGATGATGGTGCTACGGACTTGCTAATTTCACCTCCCTCTGCTATGTTGGACCATGCCTTTAAGAGGAGGATCTAGTTAAGAAAAGAAGCCATAACTATTTATAAGTGCTGATATAAATATGTGTGTCTGGGAGCAAGGCACGAACATGCAAAAGCACATTTAATTGAACTGAATGAAGAAGAAAAAGGCTTTTGTCTTGGTAGCTTTTACAGGTAGACTTTGAGTAAACTCACTTAGCTTCTGGTGCTATCCTGCTTGTAGGAGTAAATTTGCTTTAGTAGAAAGGGTGATATATTTTGAGGGTGAAACAACAGCCTTTCATTGCAGTAAGCAGGGCATTGAGTGTGGCCCCTACTAATATTTCAGTTTGTGGCACCTTCTGAAGGCCCTGGAGATTTTCAGACCTCTTTGAAGCTATTGAAGGAGTAAATGCTCAAACAGACAACATGCAGCAATAAACGAATATGGCTAGATCTTTCTCTGAAAGCAGTATGTTAGTTGTCAGCATGCTGACTTCTGTACAAATGGTAATGCATCACTCCCCTTGAAAGCAGTCATGTCTTATTTCAGTTATTCCAGGCAACAATTGTGGACTTGGTCAGTCTCTGCAGGAGAGCACTTTACTACTGTAGAAAGCATGTGTCATATCCTGGAAGGTGCTGCTCTAAGCAACCTCTACTGCTAACAGGGGCCAGACTTCTGTTCTGAACCCTTCCTTGTAGGCTGTTCTTGTCATGAGTGTTGGCTTTGACTGAGCAAGGCTGAGAGCTGGAAGGTGTCACCAGCAATGGCTGGGTTTCTAAACACCCAGTCGTGTGCAAGTGGGGCAGATGTGCATGTGGGAGAGATGGTGGGCAGAGGCACTGCTGCTTGGAACAGCCACTCACTATGTGGTAGAACGAGAGACGTGGATTATCATGCAGAACTGCAGCAAAATCTGTTAATTGGCATCCCTTGCAGCTTTGCAACAGTTCCTTGGTGAAGCTCTTCACTGCATCTTTCCCTGCTTGAAGCTTAGTATTAACCTTAAAAATTTCTAGAGTCTTTTGAACACTAGACTGCCTTGAGCAGCCTTCGACTTCTTTCTGTATGAGTTTTCTTGGGTGAGGACAGCATAAAATGGTTGTTTTGTTGATCATAGCTGTTTTAGTCTCAAAATCGGTCTAGCAGCTATGTTAAATTTCACTTAGTGAACGTCCAAAATTAAACCCCAATTCAGGGCATGCTTTTTTTAAGTTATGTGAAAATTAGTGTACAGATCACCTTTCTTCTCTGTGGTTTCTCTCTTCTTGGATTGTTTTGAGAAAATCCTTGCAGCATTTCTCTTCCTAAGAAAAACCCAGAGTATTCAGTCCCTCTGAAAAGGCTCATTGCCAGAACTGAACTCTAGCAAAGAGTGTTTCACAGTCAGAGCTATCATGTGACTATTAGCAGTTGTCTCCATCCATGGTAATTGTAGCTGGTGTGCTCAGAATCATAATTGAGAGATTTATCTTGGTCTATTTATAGCTACACCACCAAATGGATGTTTTAACTCTTCGTTTTCAAGTCTTAAAATCAAGACAAAAATTCACGTGGCTGCTGTAAATCAGTGTATGTCCTTCTCTGCTGAATGTGTATTCCACAGTTGTCTTCACATAGCATTTAACCTGGAGTTTTGAAAGAATCTGGGACACAGGCTTTTACAACTGTTTACTGAGGTTTTGAAGAATTTGATCATATAACAAATCTTTTTACATGTATCTATAATCCTTTCAAAGTACATCCCAGTATTAGCTGTTGAAATTATCTTTCTGTATGGATAATACCTGATAGCTTGATTTACCCCTGGATACTAGCTTCAACTAACGTGTGTGGGGTTTTGTGTATGTGGGTTTTTGTTTTTTTTTTTTAAACTGTGCTAGTTGAGGGTCTGTCATGTGCTAGGGGCAAATGAGAGGGAAGAGCAATCAGTACTTCATATGTTTGTTTCTTCTTGACCTTGATCTGCAGCTCATGATAGTTTTTTATCTGCTTTGTTTCCATCTTGGATCAAGAAGGCAAAGCCTTACTAGATTTAGATCCCTTCCAACCCAAACTATTCTATGATTTATTCTCACAGTTAAGAACTCTCAGCCTTCTGGCTCCCTGTAAAAGCACAAGAAAAATCCTTTCTGTGCATGTGTGTGCTTATACACAAGAGTTTGCACGTGCGCACACACACACACTTACTCATGAATACAGGGAATTGTCCTTTTCGTGTGCACAGTCTACAAAGCAATTGTGAATCTAAACATGCTTTTTTGTTTACAAAAAAAGTTTTTCTCCGCTGCTTTCCCTTGTAGGACAGTGACTTGAAACAGTACTGGATGCCTGACAGCCAGTGCAAAGAATGCTATGACTGCAGTGAGAAATTCACCACCTTCCGGCGGAGGCACCACTGTCGGCTTTGTGGGCAGATCTTCTGTAGTCGATGCTGCAATCAGGAAATCCCTGGAAAATTCATGGGCTACACGGGTAGGGTTTATCTGTTGAGAAGCAGAACATTCTCTGTGTGCTCAGCTGTGTTCGGACCACTGCATTTTAGATTCTGGCATCTGCTAGACAATGCTGTACAGGTCTCTGGTGGGCTTAGAAATAAGCATAAAGAATCATGGGACCTAATTCTACTAATTTATTCATGAACAGTGGTGGATTATGCCATCCTTGCTTATTTTTACCAACACTATGTCTATGATGACAAAACAAATATGGCCACTATTTAACTAGGATGTTCACTACAAAAGGTGTGCTCAAGTGAAAGCTGCTCTTACTAATAGTAGCTTTAAAATCTAATGAACCACATGTTCTAATTGAGGATGAGGGAAACTCTTTCAAATACCAGTTACCAAACTCTAGACATCTCCTGATGAAGGTAATGATTTCCAGACATCAGTTGGTATGTTATATCTGACTGGCAGTTGTTGTACCTTGATTTCAGTGTGCACATGCGCTCTGTCTCCCTGCCTCCTCAACCTATCTCTCTCCTACTGATCACGTGTTATGCATCATTTGCTTGGAGAAATTCCCTGAGTGTATAATTATCTGGGGTTTTGCTGTTTAAGGGAATATGAGAACTAGACTTGAACATGCAAAGAGGTTTTGAAACAGGAAATCCTTATTTGCCCACCACTACACACCTCTGATCCTGTAGGAACAGAGTACTATTTGTTCCCACTTACACTCTCTGGTTCCCCTTTCCATAGGGGATCTACGAGCCTGCACTTACTGCCGCAAAATAGCCTTAAGCTATGCACACTCCACAGACAGTAACTCCATTGGAGAAGACTTAAATGCTCTGTCAGATTCTGCGTGTTCTGTCTCAGTGCTGGATCCTGGCGAGCCACGCACACCAGTTGGGAGCCGTAAAGCTAGCCGCAACATCTTTCTGGAGGAGGATCTAACCTGGCAAAGGTAAAGTGAATGGCTTCATGCTGAGCTCCAGAATCTTAACTATGTTTCCAGACTGACAGCTGCCTAGCCAAAATCTGGTGGTTTCCATCTAGGAAATTTAGAAGTATATCTCCTGTAAAAAGAACGTAATCCTGTGCTTGCTTCTAATATTCTTCTCTTCAAGTTGAAATGTGGAAACTTTTCTAGTGGAGTTTTAAATTATTTGCAGTTCTTCTTTTAACCTATTCAATCAGTGATTCTATACCAGTGACAGAACAGGCTTTTAGCTTCAGAGTTTGAAAAGACACAACCAAAAAACATCCGTTCTAACCACCAGTGTGTTGAGAGACAAATCAATGTAACACTGATGCTTTAACTGTCAGGTTTTGGATTGAGTGAGAGAATATGAGGGATGTTTTCTGTGTAAATAAGAGTGAAGTGTTTAAACTGAAGTGGGTTGAAAGGACAGCTATAAAGGTTCTCTGATCTCCTTTCAAAGTGAGTTTCTTATTGGTTTCAAATGAGGGGATCTTTATTTTTGGAAGATGAATAAAAGAACACCGTACTTCTCAAGTGGTACGCAAGTTTATTTCTGAGGCACTTGATTCAATTTAATGTGGGGGAAGGAAGAAATAATCAGATGTGCTGTTTGTGCTCATTTCCCTGAAAACAGAAGAACAGGCAGGAGTGAAACTACTGAGGAGATTTTGCGTCAGACTTTCTTCAACTGAGGGATAGTGTTAGTGACATGTGCCTCTCTCAGCAGATACCTTCTAGTGATTCTGATAGTATCAAAAGAAAAACCTCAAAAACAATGGTTTTCAGAAAATGCCCTGACTCTTGCTTAGCATGTCGCTTTTCAGAGTATGGTGCTCCTGTATGGAAGCAGTTAAATAAAGGAAGGTACTTCTGGTTTAATGTCATGGTCATCTAAAGCACTAATGTTGCAATTCTTGGGATAAATACTACAAAATTTTGAATTAGAGAATAAGTATGTGTGCTTGGAATGCTTCTCTTCAGGTGTACAAAATAATAGAAGGTATCATTAGTTCTGTCTTCTGATGTGTTATTAGTATCTTCAGTATGGAAATTCTACAGCCTGTAGACATGAACACGTACAGACAGTGTTTATATATTTTTGGGCAGCTTGTAGCACTGGAGAAAAATTCTGCCTATCCTTGAAAGGCTGATAGCTCTTTTTCTACTAGAATGCTTAGTCTTGTTGGGAGACACTGAGTAAACATGGACTGCTTTTGTGTGTGAGGGGGAGACAGATTGAGATTAGGTACTTTATTGTTACTTTAGGAGGATTAAAATTTTCTTCAGTACTTGTTGCTCTTAAAATGTAAAACTTTGCAGTGGGCTACAGTGCCTTTTTTTTTTTTTTTCCCCTCAATACTGCATTTGGTAAATTTCTGATTGACTTTCAAAGGCTTAAACTCAAGACACTGAACTTAAATGCCACCACAGTGGAAAGTGGCAACTCACAGCTTTGTAATGGAAGCAAGGTATTTTTTCTAATATGTGGCTTCTGTGTGAGAAGTAATTTGCTTCAGAAGAAAACCTGGGAGTTGAATCTCTTCCCAAAATAATGTGTCTGAGATAAGGCTCTTGCATCTTCTGCTGTCATGCTGCAAAGCAGTGAGAAAAGCAGTTAAGAGAGTGATGCTGTATTTACTTGTCTGACGTTGTTCGGCCCTTTGAGTAGTTGGAACATAAAGGTATGGCCTCCTACTTTTAACTAAATTGAAGGGCCGTGTCCTTTAAAAGTGAAGAAGTAGTGTACTCTTGGTGAGTACAGCTACTCAGGCAAAGTTATATTGTCTACATTTTCTCATGAAGAGCATTTATTGTGCTAGTAACATGTCTACATCCCAGAGCACAGCCAGTATGGCTGTATCAGTTGGAGTGCAGTGGCTTATATCTGATACAGTTTTGCCAGTAGGAATTACATTGGTGTACGAACATCTGCTCTCCTTCCTCCTGGGGTGGAAGAAAGTGGCGGGCAATGGTGATGGTGATCAGGTTGAACAGTTACAAAAGATTGTCAGGCTACCTTGGTAAAAGCTGTCTAGCAATAGCTACAGATATTGGATTGCAAAGATGATGTGTTGGGGAGATGGAAGGCAATGCCTCTACCTCCAAAGCATGGAATAGCAGCCTGTAAGGAAGAAGGCACAAAGGCAGGATAATACGAGAAGTGGGAAGAGGCTGTATTGGCCAAGGCTTGAGTCTGAAGGAAGAAGATTTGAGCACCGTCCTCCAGATATCATTGGCCTAGAGATGGGGAAACATTTCCCTATTGCCTCATTGATTTAATAATTATGGGTGTGAATGAGATGTAACATTATAATTAACTGTATTTTAATTCCAGCTGTTCTGATGGCGCTGCATGTGGCAAATCTCTCAAACATCTGTAACATGCTCCTTTTCCTTGCAGTTTGATTCACCCGGACTCTTCAACTACGACGTTGTCTGCACGCCTTGGGCCTGTCCAGGAGGATGCAGGGAAATCGCCAGCTAGGAACAGGTGAACTAATCATATCTGAGTATTTTCTGTTCTAGATGCACTCCTAGCACACTCTTCACTGTAAAGCCTGTATTTTGGGGCTTGGTTTTACTGAGCATGCTGTTTCATGTCTAAAATGGGATACCCCATTACCCATATGGTAAGGAAAGACCATTTCTGTACATATTCGTATTAATAAACATATTACCTTTGAGGAACTTGTAGTTTGCTGCTGAGTCAGTCAAGTAGAGGTGGTGATAAAGAGGACAGAAAGGGAAAGAAGTGGCTAAGAACGGTAGAGTTCTGAGGAAGCTGAAGGAAAGGGAGTAACAGAGACTTGATAATGGGAGGCAAAGGCTGAGGTCATGGACGAGCAGAGGTGTAGTTTTTGGTCGTTTGGTTTGTGGGTTTTTTTGTTCCTTCTGCCCCCATTCTGCTCCCTCTGCTCTCCCATTAAGTATAATCCTGTTTAAGTTACCAGGCTTCCTTAGGCTAAAATCCCATCATAGGTCTTTATGCAAGAGTGCTGGAATGAACTTGGAAATGTTCATGGGAGCTTTAGTATAAGTTGTGAACACTTGATCTTTAATCCCACTAAATAGGCTGGTATTAGAAGAACAAGTAATTTCCACTTCACAGTGTTTCTGCTATGGTTCTGGTTACATACTTCCATTATGTTTAAATTGGGGAAATAAAGATGAGGCAGGGATATGAGGAACAGAGCAAAGATAATTCACATTCCAGTGTTGGAGTCAAGAGATGTTCAGAAACTTCTTTGCATTGGTGTTCATGCGAATGCAAAATGTTTAGCAATTTTGAGAGATCTGGCAGGACTGGTGAAGACTAGGGAACTCAGCTGAGGAGGATGCTGGGTGTGCCTTTTGGGGAATGGACTGCTTGGAGTCTTTATCTTCTGTGTGATGGGGACAGGAGAAGATGCACATTGACTGTACAGCTGAGAACCAAAGATCTCACCTAGGGGGAGTAAAATACTAGTGAATAAACTAGTACCAAAAATCAATTCTGGTCAAACATGGCAAGGAGTCCAGAGTTAAAAGTTCAATGCTAAATAACTGCAGTGACGTCAAGAAATGTTGGAAACCTTGAGGATGATCTCCTACTTCGCGTTTGAATTGATGTTGTCTGTTTTAAAAGACCTTTGCTCTTTGCTCACACATGCAGTAGTAGGAGGGTTCTAAGCTGGACCTGGCAGGCCCAAACTGGCTATTCATAGCCTTACCATAGTTCTTACTTGTCTGGACTCATGTTTGAGAAGTAATGATGAAGTATAACCTCTCTCTGTTAAAATTCTGAACCTGTGGAAACAAAGCTATTGGCTTTGGGCTAAGCAATGCTAGCAGCTGTAGATGTTTCTTTGATGCAAGTTTGACCATGCCTCTTTCTAGATGAGATGAAGCAAAAATGATGCAGGTTGACTGCATTTAGATGCAGGTAGCAGAAGTTACTTAGTATTATTTGTTTTCCCTGTGGGTGGGGGAATGTGTTTGTTTTTTTCTTTTTTTCTCAGACTGATTATTTATGGGCAAAAAACAGCACAACAATCAGATGTTGCAAGCAGAGGGATTCGAACTTCTCCTTTGCAGGTCCTTCTAAAGGACAGGGATTTTCATTGCAAAATCTCCCCCTCTGTTTTTAGAAAAAGGTAAATACAGTAAAGTCCCAGATGTAGTTGGTGATGATAGACACAGATACGAACTCCGACTGTTCTAACTCATGCTTAATGTCCTTTTACACAAATTAAAAATTCCTGC